AAAAAAAAACAAACAAACCAAAGAACATTTACCAATGAGAATGTTTTGAGTACTTTTTGAGTCGACTTGCTTTGACAATGGCGGTAAACTTTCAGTTTGACAAAAATAAAACGATGGATGGTTTTTGTTGTTAACCAAAAAGTACACGGACCAACTCAGTTAGCATCTTAGCTAGGTGCGCTGTTCATTTAGAAGCAGTTGACGACCCTAGTACATAAAAAAATAATGAATAAATAAATAATTAAAAAATTGGTGGCACTTTGGCTCAGTTGGTAGAGCTGATGCCTCCCAGCAAGAAGGTCCCCGGTTAAAATCCCGGTTCAGGGACCTTTCTGGGTAGAGTTTGCATGTTCTCTCCGTGCATGCGTGGGTTCTCTCCGGGCACTCCGGCTTCCTCCCACAGACCAAAAACATGACTKTTAGGTTAATTGATAACTCTAAATTGTCCCTAGGTGTGAGTGAGAGAGTGAATAGTTATTTGTCTCTTTTGTCTCTATGTGTGGCCCTGTGATGGACTTGTGACCTGTCCAGGGTGTACCCCGCCCCTCGCACTGTGACTGCTGGATATGGGCACCAGTGACCCACGCCAGCCTGAAAGGAAGAAGCGTGTACAGAAAATGGATGGATGGATGGATGGATAAATAAATAAATAAATAAACCCAGCCAGAACATTAATGGTCTTTAAAGTGTATTAAAAAAATCTTCAGGATCCTAGCAGACTTTTGAGTAATGTGTGACAAAGCACTGTAGCTCTACAATGACTTGCACAAAATGGTGGTGGCATGGTCGTCAAGACATCAAAATAAGACCGGGCATGATGGCCTCAGTCGTAGTCGACATCAAGGTTGGGTAATCCTGGTCCTTGAGAGTCGCTGTTATGCATGTTTTTACTTGTTCCTCTGATTCAACACACCTCATTCTGTGATTGAATTCCCTTTTAAAGTTCTGCCTAAGCTTCGTAATCACCCATTCATTCAAATCAGCTGTGTTGGAGCAGAGAAAACCTCTAAAACATGCAGGATAGTGGCCTTTGAGAACCAGGACTGCACACCCCTGTTTGACAACCACAATTGTAAAAATGACAGGAAACTAATCTAACCCAGACATGTTATCCATAACAATCATGCTGTGCTAGTGTTGTGTGATCTTTTAATGCAGTGGTTACCAACATTAGAGGTGCCAGTGAGCACATGGGGGGACATATAATCATTGTCAGCTCAGAGGTTGTGAAAATATCATTTTGTTGTTTGTATTAAAAAAATCACTGAAACAAGTCCATTTGAATAAACGAAACACTGTATAACTCAGTTATTATTATTATTTTTTTAATTTATTTATTTTTTTCAGAACAAAAATTTGTAACTTTTCACTTTATTCTTATATTATCTGGATCAGTGGTTCCCAAAGTTGGGGTCGGGACCCAAAGTGGGGTCCTGAAACATCAAGGTGGGGTCCTGGGAATATTTTCTGAATTAATTATCCTAAAAATGACAACCATCATTTCTTTTGCGTTTGTTGTTACAAAATAAAAAGATTAGTGTACTTAGAATGGACAAAAATAATGTCATAAATAATGTTATATGCTCGTTCATTTATTTG